AGAAAGCAAAAATATATGGGATAATTTATTTTTCATCTGTCGTCATTTCCGGAAGAAACAGCGTGGCGTTTACATGTTTAAATTTTCAGCGGTGCAACGCTTCTACCGATGCGACGCTTACGTGCAATTAAAAAAGAAAACATTAATGCTTTATTCACTCTAGATGAGATCGCGGAAGAATTACATTCTTCGCTCACATTCACTTCAGTTTAAATTGCGGTCATTCTGTCACTTACATATTCTTCGGTATAGTGCTTGTTCTTGGTTTACTTTGGTTTAGAGCGCTACGGTCTACTATTTTGCTAAATGAGAGCTAATGAGACCGAGATCTGCTTCCAAAAAACGATTCCGAACGGCTGTAAATATCCATCTCAGCAACTGGATTCGAATCCACGAATCCTGATATCCAAGAGTAGCGCCCTACCCATTCGACCATGGCCAGCACTTCTGGTAGAACGGTGCTTTGGTACACCAGGGTGCCTGGGCCGAAGGCCCTACCCCTTGTAGAACAGTTTAGAAAGTGCGAATTATGATTCAGGGTATCGTCTTAATATGATTTAATAATTAAAATAATTCTAGTAATAATAATTTTTTAATAATATTTATTTTAATTATTGTTGACGATAATAAGTAAACTGGTAAATAACTAATAGCATTGTTACACATTTGTATACATGTTTTTTTTTTTTTTTTTTTTTTTTTTTTTTTTTTTAGCTGTAAAGATCAGAAAGCCATCGAGCTGGTGACAGTGAGCTGAAAAGCAAGTGGTAAAGTACAAGCAAGTGCAAAGTATTATAAGTGCACTTGATCAGAAGAATAAACACAGAAAGGATGCTGGTAGAATAAGGTAATCTATGTACATATGTAATTATAATTCAGTGCATGAAAAAAGTTAATAACATAAACAATGCAAGTACTCATGAAATTTTAAGTTACAATATAATACAGAACATAAAAAGGTATTCATTACTATGCTATGCTTTACAAAGGAAGAGATGAAAAAAGAAAGGAAGAATTTACATAATCCATTCATTCAGAATGGACAGTGATCTATTTTTATTATTTAAGTCATAATGGTCATACGTAGCTATTTTGATGGCAGGGTTGTTGATCGTGAGCTGTTTGTTGTGAAATCTTTTTGCAGTTCTATAGTAAAAGGATTTGAGGGGGCGAACACCCAGTTCCTCATGTATCCAATTATTGCGTATATACCATGGTGCATTTGCGATCTGTCTGAGAGTAGAAATTTGAGCAATTTGCAGCTTGCCTCTGTAACGATTACATGAATAGGCCCATACAGGGCATGCATAACATAGTAATGGACGCAGAATGGATTTTTAAATGAGTAACTTGTTATCTATGGATAAAATGCTGTTTCGAGCAATTAAGGGGAAGAGTCTAGCTTCACGTGCTCGAAACTTCTTAATAATTTCTGTGATGTGTGGGTTCCATGACAGTGTTTTACTGAGGATCACCCCAAGGTAAGGGACTTGCTTGGGCCAGGGAATCGAGTTGCCAGCATTTGATTACCTCAAAATTTTGCGACTGGGACGTTTACAGCGATGCCACGCGTTAGTTGGGCATTTACGCTGTTTCTGTGCTATTTTGGTATTTTTTACGCGATTTTCCTCGTGTGCAGCGTTTACTGATGCGGCCTTTCTTCCGAGAATTACGGTAGTTTTATTCTAAACATTTAATTGAAAAAATGTCGATCAACTCCACTGAAATTTACATAACTGATAATGATAACGTATATCTGAAGGAACAAATATAGAATAGTCCAGGAAAAATATGAGACCAAGGAGAAGTCTTATTTTCTCCGATTGATCAATTTAAGTACCTTATTCCAAAAATATCAAATAATAAAACATTTTCAGCTGCTGTCAGTTTAAATCATCGTCAATGAAATGTCGAACGGTTGTCGGACATAAAATGGCAAGGAGAGTAGGTGTCTTATTATTTGACGTTTCCAAAACAACATATATTGATAAAACTGAAAAAAAGATGGAAAATATTTCATAATTTCTTTTTATTTCTCGGCCACACTGTATACAAATAATCTCTCACTCACTAACGTACACCAAAATCTTTTTTTACACGGCAGATTGGTTTCTTAGAAAAATACTCAGTGTATATTGTATATAGAAAATATTCCACACTCACGGTCCGTTCCACATTCCGTTCGTGTAGAATATGCCAGACTCCAACCTAGTAGGAGAAGATAATATTCGAAATGTCGGATATACTGACATCTAAGTTTTAATTTTAGGATAATCTCTCATTTGACGGTTTTTTAAACCTAGCTTCTAAAAAAAGTGTGTATTTGGTGATATTTTAAACCGTGTTAATTCAAAAAAGCATAAAAGCAAGCATTGAAAAAAAGAGGCTTTGGTGTATTTTATTCAATTAGTATGTTATCAAACAAAACATAGACAAGTTTTAAAATAAATACTGAGAAAATGTGCTATCAGTATATAGGTCAAATAGATTTTAAAAAATAACGCACGGTACTTACGTTATCAGTATCAGAAGGGCAGAGCCGTATTCGACTTGGCGAAAAATTTGGTTTGAGGCGCAGAACAAAAGAACAGAGAGCCGCTTGAGAGTGACACGTGATTTTTAATTTATTCTTTTTTTATTCGAGTAGTTACTTCTAGTTGATCATTGTACTTACTCTCCATGAATTAATACCCACTGTCACTAGCCTTTTTACGTTCCTTGACCAATTAGACAGAGGCACGTATTCTTGCGAGTATATTATAATCCTTTCTTTGTTAGGGCGGGGCGCCGCACTGGATGCTTCCCGCTGAGCAGCTGGTTTGTCTATCTATACAGTCTACACAAACATCCGTGGATGATCGCATGCTGAGATGCAAAAAATATAGCTCAGACTGATATTTTTCTTAAAAAATCTTCTATACTTTTAGTTCATTCAACTGAATTAAATCTGCCTTCTACAAGTAGTTACATGCGAAACTTAAACAGAAAATTACTAGTAAACATCAAAACAGGAAATCGAGAAGCAACGTACATGTACTGATAATAATTATATGGTTGACGTTAAATTAGAAAATATTGATAAATTGGTTACAGTAACAAAATGACTGAAAATATATCGAACCGAAAGAAACGGGTATTTCTTTTGGTTCTGTTCCGGTTTTCGTTCCGGCCAAAATAACGGTTTTTGGTTCAGTTCCGGTTCGAAGCCCTGAATACAATACAGTAATGAGACACGCACTAAGAAAAGGCAAGCGATAACAGGAAAATAAATCCGCATTTCAGCAAGGCTTATATAAAAAATCCGAATGCTTTATTTAAGTTTTGAACTGTACCAAGAGATCTGCGCAATGCAGATGACATTAATTTAGGTTAATTTTTCAATGGCGCAGCCTAAAGAAAAGTTATTACTATTTTAGAATAGATAATGGAAGTACCCAAAACCCCCCGAGCGTTACGGCTTTTTTTCAGGAAACGACGTAAAAATAATCGTGTTTTCTTACCAGGTCTGTCTCGAAAACGGCAAGCATTTTTACTCGAACTACTTCAAAAGCGGGCCCCCCTTACCATGGGGATATAATTAAGCTAATTCTCCCCTCCGTTGAATTTAGCGAGTGAAATTAGTTTTTCTCTCTATGGTATCTTCGTCACAATACTGGTTGCTAAAATAGTGTTTTATCTCCTATTTGGCTATTTTATAATTTGCACACTAACACATATGCTGTATATTACTCGTACCTTAAATCAAGATATGTGCCGAATACAGAAAGTTAGTCAATATACATCAGTAAGAGAAACTACGTAAAATGCTTTAAATTTCCAGTTTCTTTAAGGAATTGCTTCGATAATGGTGAAAAATTAATTTTGCATTTTTTATCCTTATTTTCTGAAGAAATACATTTTAATATATAAAGGGAATTTGTGAGAATTTTTTTCTCCCGTGTTCCAATTTTTCGAATACAAATTATTCGCAACTTATTTTAATATTATGTTTATATTTAATTTTCAAATGTTATAAGTTTATTCCAGTTTAAAGTGTTAGATTTAAATGATTCTTTAGATTGCATCATAAATTTATTAGTAGTTAGTTATTTATGACACCGTTGTGGCTTGTGAGAAATAAATAAAGTATTGTAATTGCGAAACATTTCGATTTTCATATTTCAAAAGAAATTTCCACTTTGAATAGTTCCATCATGACGTTTACACGTACGTATGTCGCATAACCTAACATAAAATGTTGAAATTTTATATTTGGGACTTATGACTAGTTTTAGCGCGACGTATGTCCGTACATATGTATGCATGTATATCGCATAACCCAAAAACGGTTAACGAAAAGTTGAAAGTTTCTGTATGGGTCATCTGTATAACATCTAATTGTGCACCTCCCTTTTTTATAGCAATCGGCAGTGCCAAAGGGGCATTTTGGAATGGAAGATCATATCTCATTTTCAAACGAAATAGGTTTAAATGAAGTTTAGCAAAAACTGCGTTTAATTTATTTGTCGTACAAGGGAGTCATGTGGTGTCCGCATCAGATTTTTTTAAGATGTTTCAAAATAAATAAATATATGACTTGAATTGTTGGTATGCACATAGTGATGGACTGTCGCCAATAGCGCGATAAATTGTATGAACTGGAAACCCTGCAAAAGAGTCAACTGTGTAACTCTCTTATTCTTTACACTTTACTTTTCTCACTCCTTCTGTATAGGACAGTGATATGATACTAATATAACTCCTTTTTCAATATGTATTTGGAATACTAACAAATTTTTTATCTATTTTTCATGTATTAATAAAGAATATGTTTTGTGATCTTACAATTTCCGTCTACACCTATTTTGGATTACAAGTTAATTAGGTATGATCTCGCTTGATGCTGCGCTGGATACAAGGTAAGAAGAATCATTTCAATTTTCAATTTTCAAAATGTAAGAACTTCATAAGGAGACTGTATCACCTCTCTGTCATTATTTTGCCTATAGATGGAGTGCTTATTATTGGTCTTTGAGTCCAAAACCATTTCTCCACTGGCTTCTGCATAATTCCTTGCAATAACAGCAATGCAAAAAAACTTTTATTTCACTTGGATTTGTTTCAGTCCATGCGCGTGTTCTTGCTCGTGGACTTAATATAGTTGTGGCCAAATACTGGGAGGCATATCTATTAGTTTCTTCAACTACAATGTTTACAACTTCGTCATCAATAAAGAGAAGGAGGAATTGTAAAGGATCATTCGCATCCTTTATGGTCATTTTTAAACCTGGGCAAGCGCTGAATGGAAATTTAGGAGGAACAGGTTGAGTTTTAGAAGTGTCTATCTTGCACCAATCCCGCACTTTGCTTAATTGTTCTTCATCTGAATCACTTTCAGTTTCAGATGAAGATAAAAACTCGCTTTCTGAGCTAGATAATAAACTTTCTTCTTCAGATTCACTAGCCATATATGCTTCTTTTCAAAACAGCACGAAATAGCAGCAGCAGATAACACAACAGCAGAATAGATGAAGTGGCTGATGAATGAGATCAGGCAGTTCGGCTTTTATAGAGTAAAATCACTTTGGGGGTAGAAAACAAGTAAATAGCTTGGTCAAAGGAGCTTCTTGAGAAAATAAATGTATTTTCGAGTTACAATGCAATTTCCTTGTAATTAACTATATAAGAGTTACAATGCAAGTATTTATATACTACGTGCATTATCGAGATGTTAATAGAAACCAAAAAAAAAAAAAAAAAAAAAAAAATTCTTTGTAGCAAAATTGTTAACGATATTATTTCTCCAAGACATTTACGCAGGTGTGTATTCTTTTCATGAATGATGAAAAATAAGTTAACAGTTTTCCGAGCAGATGCTCCAAATTATACAGCTTTGAAGATTAAGTAATGAAAACATAAACTCTTATTTCTGGTTATGTGCTGAAAAAGATATTACCCTTTTCAAAGAAAACACCTAATAGCGGAATCTCCAAGTTGACTTCAACGTAAATATACCTCCAGGGGGGTACTGAACTAAAAGCTTACCACCTTTGTACATTTTCTACTTTGTATGGGAGACCATTACCTTTGTGCAAGGACAAAAAAGCATCCGCTATCTATAACTCTGATCTTTCTCAGTTTGTTCATTTTGTTAACTATGACGAGAAATGGAGCTGCCGTAAATTCTAAATTTATTGCTTCTTCCAAAGACTCTGATTTCAAGTTGTGTATTTGCCGTCTGTTAGTAATTTAAGCTACCCTGGCTTTAAAATTCAGAAACATCCTTTCATCAGTAATTACAGTACATATAAACACAATATCATTATTTAAATTCAGACTTTAAAATCTTCATCTATGTTAAACTATAGAAAGCGCAAGCAGTTTATTTCGTGAAAATTTATCACATTTTTCGTAGGAATTATTAAAACGGTTTTGTATGTAAACTATATATATATATATGTAAACACACATACAAAACACTGTGTATACATATGGTGATGTATGTTTGTGAGCATGAGTGCGCGTGTATGTTATATTTCCCTATTATATATCAGTATTTTATTGAAAGTAGTTGTAGACGACATTTAATAAAAAAAAAAAAAAAACTGAAAAGTATAGTAAATCTCAAAATGCCATTATGAAACTGAATATTACATGAAATCGAAAATTTATGTGAAGCAACTATGGAATGAAAATAAATTCTAGTTAGGTTTCACAGCATACAAAATAACACTTTAATCTAACCACTTGAGTAAAACGAATGCCAAGAAAATATCCTGAAAATGTATATCGGTGAAAAAAATCTCCGGAAAATGCCTCACGGAAAATATGCATCTGGTTAAAAATATCGCTAGAATAATAAACAATGTAAATCTTTTTATCAGGTACATATACACATGCACCTTGAAAAATATTTGTAATTTTTATACTTTGTAGAGATATATAGAGGATTCTTTAATATTAAATATATTTTTCATTTATTTATTACAAAATATTCTTTCTTACTAAAAATATGCTTAATGATTACATCGTTTATATATCCTAATTAATTATGAATATTTTTTTTAGTTTCTTGTTATTTGTGTTTCGTTTCTGAGAATTGTTAAAATTCAGGCAATCTGAATTTTACACAAAAATAAATTCTTTCCTTAGTAACAAGTATAACTTTTGCATTAGAAATTATTCACGATAAATGCAATCTTGCTTTTTCGCCAACAGAATGTTTTGGCTTATTTGACTACATCAAAGCATACTAGAGCTGTCTGCCTAAGAGGAGGGTCTCTTCGTGGAGGACTTTTTAAAGGTTAGGTTATTTAATTACGGCAAAGCCTCGAGGGCTATCTGCCTAAGGGGAGGGATGGCTTCGTGGAGGACTTTCTAAGGGAAACTGGCTCGTATACACGTTACACATGGTGAAAACCACGAAAACAGCCATGCAGCCAGCCCGTTCGCGGGATTCGAACCTCGGACCGAACTACCAGTGTTGTTCAGCGACTTTACCGCTCGGCCGCTGGTGGGCCCCAGGACTTTTTAAAAAAAACTGCTCGTATATATGTTATATATGCGGAAAACTATGAAAACGCCCATGCAGCCAGCCCGTTCTCCTAGAATCGAACTTAAGTCAGAACTCGGTATTCTGCGACTATTCAGCGACTTTACCGCTCGGCTGACAGTGACAGAATGTCTGCTACCTATACATTAATCTACTACAGAGGTAGATTTGTTTCCGAGAAAGAGATGCGAAACAGAAAAGAGATGCGAATGTGCCAATTGGTAGTGCTCTATTTAAATGGTCAACGTGTAAGTTAAGTGGGTGGCCAAATCAAGTAAATGTTTTAATGATATATCTAGCATCTAGATATGATTCGAAATTTTTTTGAATTGGAAAGGCAACGATCAGTTTACAAACAAACTTAAAAATAATTGAACATAAAATATTCATTTTCAAATACTATTCTATCTAATTTTCGAAGTTAAAATTCTCAACAATTCATATAATTAATGCTGTCGTGCTAGAACATTTATAAAGACTTACTGGTTTACCTTGCGTCCTGTGGTGGTGCAAGTAGTAGCAGCAGATCCAGCTAGTAAAATTGGAAGATCTGTGGTTCGAATCCCGGTCCTTAAGGGAGGAGAATATAAGAAATGATTTTTTTTTTTTTTTTTGTGCCCTTGTAAGGTAAATTGACAGCACGTCTAGATGAATAAGTTTGAAGATTCATGATTGTGATCCAAGCCTCATCAGTGGTTAAGATACACCTCTGAATACTGGCAGTTCGACCTGTTTTGGGTTCGATCACAAGCGAACTGACCGGCTGCATGGTTGGTTCTTGTGGTTTTCCCCCTGTATAATATGCTAGTTTCTCTCAGAATGTCCTCCACGAAGGCATCCTTCCTCATAGGCAGGTAGCCCTCGCAGCTTTGCGTTATTTAAATAACTGAATCGATCATGATTTTGATCCTTCCAAGGACGTTTTGAGTTTACCTGTTTCATGGCTTTACTATTATTAATGAATTCCTCTCAGGATGTTATCCAAAAATATATTAACAACTCAGATTATTCGAGAATTTTTTTTCTATCCGAATACCCAGTAAAACACCTTTGTTATGCATCAGTTTCCACTGAGGGATGGTAATTGAAAGAAATATGATTATTTTCTAAAGCTTAAATGTGAGCTTTAGTATGGAAGAAGAAAGATACTAGGATGCTGAAACAATGAAATTTTTATTAATTACATAAGAATAAACTGGCGGTTCTAGCTTCATTAATCGTTCACATTATGCTATTTGTAATTATTCAACTTAGAGTGGATCACTTAGTTTTAAAAAAACAAGTGATTTATGCATTTACAATTACCAGACAAGGCATTTTTTAAAGCATAAAGATAATTAAATGTATTTTAAAAATTGAGTTTGTAATCAAGCTTCGCTATCTAGGAATAAGATATAGCGCTGCAGTTAAGTTATATTCTTTCTTAAAAAAATATTTCTTTTGTTCACCTATTAAAAATAACAATCAGCAGCGTGTGTTTTTGAAAATATCCCTAAATGCAACATAAATACAAGGCAGATTTCTTTAGGGAATCCTTTACGAAGACATTTTACCACTTAGGTGGAAAACGTTTTGCTAAATTAAACTCTAAATTTACAAAGGCGATTTTATGAGAAAACAGAAGGAGGACTCTACATTGGACTAATAATTAGCAAGTTGCTCATCAGTGAAAAATAATGGCAATCTTGGATAAAATGAAAATCAGAACGATATTATTGCAAATTCTTCAATAAAGCATCTAACATATTGCAAATTAAAAATTTAAAAAGCGTTCTTTATTTTGTGAGTTTATTTGTGAAACTATGTGAGAAATAACCTCATTTTATCTTGTAATATTGGAAAATGTTTTCAGCTGTCATTATCTATCACAAATTAAATACTTTGAAATTGGATTCATTTTAAGCTGTTTAAAATATTATTTGTGTTCGTGCTTAGGGTGAAGAAATGTTTGTGTGCTGTGTTCATTCATAAGTATATGTATTTCGCCAGGATTTTGATTTTGCACTTCCCAGTTTTTATCAAATAACATAAAATTAGCATTTCATGGGGAAAAAAAACAACATTTTTTGTTTATCTTTAATTTAAACAGCAAAGGGATTAGAATTTTTGTTACTTTGCAAAAAGTACTTAGTAAAAAGATGGATTTCGAATTTGAAATGTTTTTGCTATTTGGTTAGTAAATTAATTAATATAATGTAGTATACTACTTAGTTAACTATGTTTTTATTGGGAACCATTTAAGGACATATTATAACGGTGGAAATTACTTTTGTTCTTTTTGAAGTTCCTCTATACATTATAAAATTAACCAATTGATCAAAAATTTGCATTATACAATAAAATAAGTACTGTAACACAACAACAACGATAAATAGCCTTCTTATATAACAGCCCCAATTAAAATTGCTAACTAACTAAAAACAACGAACGTGGAGACATTTCTATTATGTAGTAAAGTAAGCTTTAAAATATTTTGGAAGAACTGGTCAGAAATTATGTGAAAGAAAGTGAATCCAATTTTCATTTTAAAAAAATTTTCTTATAATGTGTCAGCTTATTTTAAGCCATTTTATCTAGTAATAACAACTTGATATTGTTTCAGATTAAAAATAATGAATGCAATATCATCCATATTTCGAAAATGGGCTTATTTAGTTATGCTGTTATAACTACTAATAACTGTTGATGAAACATTTCCACAGCAACATAATTTTGATCTGCTATGCAAGTTTATTTATGTGTTTATTTTTTAACAAATATTGAATCGTCGAATGTAAAAAAAAAAAAAAAAGCATTAATAAAATCTTTAAATGCCTGTCTTTGAATTTGAGTTCGAACACAGCATATTTAAAACAAGCTAGGATCCTGCTAGCCGCGCAAGACGCTTTGTTAGAAGGAAACAACTGATTGAAAGCA